AAAAGAGATATATAAACTGATGATTAATTACATAACCATGAAAAGATATACTCAGATCTGTAATACTTTAAAATTTTTTGTGTATTTAATTTCACTACAAGAAAACACTTCAATTTCAACGGCAAAAAATTTCGTTGGAAATTTCAATGAATATTCCAACAAACTTAATTTTATGTTGGAATAAGTGTTGGATGGTTGAGGAATTCCAACAGATTTTTTTCGTTGGAATGGTTGTATGAATTTATTTCCATAGGATTTTTCGTTGGATTTTCATATCAAAAAGTCTTACAAAATCGTGAGTTATTTAACTTATTTGAGATTGGAATTATTATGACTTCTTTAAAATTTTTTGGGATTTCTGAATAAAAAAAAAAAAATCTTATTCAAAAACCTATCTCCAGACTTAAAATATCACATATTCCTCCAAAAGATAAATTTTAAAAAATCTCAACATCATAATAAGTCTCCAAATATCACTTGAAATTTCAACGAACACGCATCTAAATTTTATTATACTCTAGATTTATTAATTTCTGAATTAATAAATGATGTCAAAGATGAATTAAATTAAAACATACCATCATGTCATGGCCCCTATTGATTAGAGTAGCATTAGAGGGATTGTAACCTCTCTTAAGTCTGCCAAAATTCGAAACTATTTCAACTCTCTCACTCAACAGATCAATCGGAGACTGCATTTGCCCTGAATTACACTCACTCCATTCCGGCCGGATCTCTCCCCAGTGCGCCGGACCGTTCGGGCTATTTTCGTCATAACTAAATTCCCTCTCATCATCTGCAACCATTTCAAACAACAAAGAAAAACACACACACACACATATATATATCATCACATATGTAAAATAAGATATTCATGTTTAATAGGTGATATGTGAAATAAGATTTTCTTCCACTATTTTTTCTGCAAAATGCTACGGTCATGTTAAGGAACCATTCTGTCGGGTTTGTAATCGTTATAATCATCATGTAATCGTTAGTTGATCTAACAGTTATAAATTCAGACAGAATGATTCCATAACGGGACCGTAGTATCTCCCACTTTTTCTTAACAACAAGCTGGTTTTACTTACCAACTTCTTGAGCTCTTGTGAGGCATGTGAAGGAGAGCAGAAGAAGAAGAAGAAGAAGAAGAATAATGAAAGATCTTCCAGAAGTTGTTGTAAATTTCATGGTTTTTTTTTTGCTTCTGTGGATTAGATTTTTTTTGATAACCAAATTGCAAGTTTTAATATTGGAGTTGGTATGAAGAAGGGTATAGCGAAGTTGCCTTATATATATAGAGGCAGGCAGCAACAGTTATATAATTTATTTATTTTTTTGGTAGCCAGCCGTAATATCTGGAGCTGTGCCCTAATTAATTCGTTGGTCAACGTGAGTCGTACACTTGGCAATGGTGGGTGAGTCTCCCAACAAGGGGTTTTTGCATCCACAAGTATTCGAACCCGAAACTTTGTTTAAGCGACATCAAATTGCTTACCACTTGAGCCAACTCTGCTGATAAATAATTTACTTATTAATGGTATGTGAACGCGAGAATCCGTGGAAAGTTGATTCTGATTGGACTTTAGTGCAAGAATTGTCTTGGACTTTGAGGTATCTCAATTCAAATTATATTTCTATTTGGAGTCATAGCCCCCCCCACAAAATAAAAAATTAGCCCTAAGAAAAATGGCTCACATAATTTTTTTTTTTTTTTTTTTTTT